ATGCTGAGGAATTTCCCTTCTACACCCATTGTACTGAGAGTTTTTATCAGGAATGGGTGTTGGACTTTATTGAATGCCTTTTCTGTGTCGATTGAGATGATCATGTGATTCTTTTCTTTCGTTTTATTTTTGTGGTGGACTATGTTGATTGATTTTCTAATGCTGAACCATCTTTGCATACCTGGTATGAATCCCACTTAGTCGTGGTGTATTATTTTTTTGATATGATGCTGAATTCTACTGGCTAGAATTTTGTTGAGAATTTCTGCATCTATATTCATGAGAGATACTGGTCTGTAATTTTATTTTTTTGTGGTGTCTTTGCCTGGATTGGTATCAGGGTTATGCTGCCTTAATAGAATGAATTTGAAAGTATCCCTTCCTTTTCTATGTTTGGAAATCATTTGCATAGTACCAGTGCAAACTCTTCTTTGAATGTTTGGTAGAATTCTCCAGTCAAGCCATTTGGGCCAAAACTTTTTTCTTGTTGAGAGTTTTTAAAAAATTATCTTTTCAATCTCTTCTCTTGTTATGGGTCTGTTCAGATTTTTGAGCTCAGTTTGTGTTAGTTTAGGCAAACAATGTGTTTCCAGAAATGTGTCCATTTCCTCTAGGTTTTGAAATTTGTCAGAGTATAGTTTTTCATAGTACTCTGTTAAGATCCTTTTCATTTCAGTTGGGTCTATTGTAATGTCCCCCTATTTTATTTCTTATTTGAGTTATTTGCGTTCTCTCATTTTTCATTTGTCAATTTGGCCAATGGCTTGTCGATTTTGTTGATCCTTTCAAAGGACCAACTTTTGGTTTTGTTGACTCTATTGTTTTTCTGTTCTCTATTTCATTTATTTCTGCTCTGATCTTTATTATTTCCTTTCTTCTGGTGGCTATGGGTTCTTTTGTTGTATGTTTTTTTAATATGTTTGTATATGCACAAACATTTCTAAAAAATACACATGAAACTTCTAGATAATGGTGATGCTTCTAGAGAAGGGGACTGGGAAACTGGTGTGAGTCAGTGACAATGACGTGTTCGCAGCCATTTTTCTCCTCCAGTGCACAAGGGAAGACTACATTTCCCAGCTTTCCTAGTAGATGTGATCTCACCGTGGAAATGTTGGTAGATGAATGTGTCACTTCAGGTCCAAGACAATTAAGTGTGAATGTGAATCCTTCCCTCACCCCTATCTGTGCAGTTGGAATCAGAACTTTGGGATGTTGGAGATGCAGAGCATGGAAGCAGCTTGGATCTGCGTCATGACTCAGGCTCAGAACCAACACTGTCTAACCCACACTGGATTGTGAATGAGAAATACACCTTTGTTGTGTTAAGCCACTGAGATTTGTAGGTTTATTTGGTATTAAATGTGGTAGATTAAACATGGCCAGAAATTCCTTGACACTCCTCTCATTGAGAGGTGGGTCTTTGTCTCCTCTCCTTGAATTTGGGCTGGACTGTGACTGCTTTGACCAACAGAATACAGAGGAAGTGATGCTGGCTAGTTTCTGGCTCAAGCCTTAAGAGACCAGCAGCTTCCTCTTCCTGTCTGTTGAAACGCTTGTTTTGGGATGCTACCTCTCAGAATCTAGAGATCATGCTCTGAGAAACATAAGCCATCTGGAGGAGTTGTATGTAGGTCACATGTAGGTGCTTTCATTTTCAGCCCTAATTGACCTCCCAGCAACAGCCAGGGTCAATTGCCAGCCGTACGAATGAGCCATCATGAGCGATCAGCCCAGTTGAGTCTTAGATGACTCCCATAGTGGTTGTGGCTGCAACCACATCAGAGGCTCAGTGTGAGAATCACCCAGCTGAACTCAGCCAAAACTCAGAATCGTGAGCGACAATAAGAAATAGTTGTATTAAACAACAAATAACCAAAAGACCACTGTACAGCCTATCTTATCCTGACCAATATGAAGGTATGGAATGAAGAGGCTCACTTTTCAGTGTCAACCCTTTTGTACTATTTAAGTTTTTTTGTTATGTGCATGTAATTTATTTTTCAATTTAAAAAATAGCTACAATTTTGTGTTCAAAACTTCGAAGCATCAGGTCATAAAAACTATTTTTGTAATTTTTTATATCATAGCAAGGGCAATAAATATTTATTGTTCACCTACTTAGTTAGTGCTAAGTCCTGTCCTAGATGTTGAAGACAGAGCCGGGATCAAGGCTGACTTGGTCCTGGTTCTCCTGAAGGTTCCAGGCTGGTAGGAGAGACAGATAATAAACAAACACAGAAACATGCGCTAAGTACTCTGGAAGGAAGAGCAACTGGGTAATGTAGTAGACATTGACTGGAGAGGGAGCTATTTCTGATTGGATGAAGAGGGAACATCTTCTGAAATCTGACTGATGGGCAGCGTCAGGCCCTGAAAGATCTGGAGGAAGAACACCAGGCAGAGGGAACAGCCAGGGCAAAAGCTCCAAGGTGGGAAGGAGTTTGGCAGTGATACTTCAGCGATGTGAACGACAGTGAAGAGTAGAAAGAGGTAACGTCAGAGATGTGGGCAGGAGCCAGATCAAGCAAGGCCTTCAAGGCCACAGTATGGAGTCTGGAATTTGCTTTGAATATGCTGAAAATCCCTTGTAGGATTTTAAGTAAAAAATAACATGAGCTGATTGATTTTAGAACAATCAATCTAGCCTAACCCAGGTGCAAGTTTCAATCTGTATTCTAAAGTACATTGGGTTCCCAGATCATGATATAATCACTTTTTATGTATATGGGTCACTGAATCATGTTTTTATGACATAATTAATTAATGACATACTTTATAACATAACATAATTAATTATAGATAAGTTAAACAGTATGTTGAATGTGAAAAATAGAAATATGTCTTCATATATGAATGTTATCTAAAATTTTATTTTAAGTGAACTTTATATTAACACATTGCCTTTGAGTTGATTCCAACTTATAGTGACCATACAGGACAGAGTAGAACTGCCCCATAAGGTTTCCAACGAGTGGCTGGTAGATTTGAACTGCAGACCTTTTGGTTAGCAGCTGTAGCTCACTGTAGCTCTCAACCACTGCACCACCAGGGCTCTGAACTTTATATTAGAATCTTTCATATTCTAAAGATGTAAGATACATATTTTTACTCAAAATCACTTTATCATATGCTATTCAAAAATTATCTTAAATTTCCTGAGTGGTTTGTGGGTTAAGAAACAGGAAACACTGCCCCCAATATGCCTCTTTACCTGAAAGAAACAGGGCACCCCTGCACCTCACAGTCAGAGGGCCTTTTACTGGTGGCCCCAGGTACCTGAGAGTCAACCAGTCCTAAAGGGAGCTTATCACTATTGCCAACTGGCCCTGGGCCTTCACTGGTACCCTAACTCCCTTTCCCTGGGCACCCCTTCTGGTGAAGATCACCATCGTCTACCCACTCCTTCAACAGACAGGCTAGGCTTGGGCTGGGGCTAGAGGTACAGAGGTAAATGGGACTCAGGCCCTGCCTGTCTCAAGATCATGATAACATGGTGTGATGACTGTGATGATAGAGGACATGCAGGGGCCAACAGAGTCCTGAAGCTGGGGCCAGAGAAGCCCTAACTTAGTGCAGGGGCAGGAAAGTTCTGGAGGAGTTGAGCCATGAGTAGAAACCAGGCAGACTAGAGGGGAAGGCGATTCAAACAGCAGGCACAGCATGTGCAAAGGCCATGACGGCCATGACAATGATATGTGAGGAACTGAGCCCAGTTCATTGTGGCTTCAGAGCAGTGGGGTGCACTTGCTTTCCAAGTCCTGTGAACCATTTGCAGCCACATCTCAACAGACTTGTCACCTCTAGAGCCTGCACAGCTACCCAACATCACCCAGTTTCTCTTGTCTCTTGGGGTTGGACAGGTCTGCATTCACCCACTGACAGCAGGGTCTGCTGGGACTTGGAGTGCCCAGGGTGAAGCTAGGCCCTGGGAATCCCTCCTTTCATTCCTAACACCAATCTGTGATGTGTCTGTAGAGCTTTGGACAGGAGTCTTGCTGGAGACAGTTTTAAAATACCTGGAACAGGTGATCAAGTGTACCTGCAAGAGGTGTCTCTCCTCTTCCAGAGGCCGTCCAAGTAGAGCGAAGTGTTGGGCCTTGAGTCAGGATACTGGGCTACTGGTCAGCTCAGACCCACTCCCTGCAACCTCAGACAAGCCCCTTCTCCCTCTGGGACAGGGGTTTGGTACATGAAATCAGCTGTACCCCTTGACTCTCAGGGACCTAATTTTTCCAGAAAAAACGGGGCCCCTAATTGTCTCCTGTCCTTTCAGCCCTGAAGGAGGAACCCCCTAATTCAGTCATTCCTGCATCCGCCGAGAGTTGTGTCGTCGAACCTCTGCACTTGTTCTTCCAGCTGCCTAGAATCCTTTTTTTCACCCTGGCCAACTCCTATTTCATCCCTCACGACCCAACTCAAATGGCACCAGCTTGGGAAAGCTGGGCCTCTTCTCAGTTTCTTCTTCCTTTGTGCTTTCTATCCAGCTTTCATACTGTGTGTACCTTGTGTCTGTGTCGACTCTCTTCCCGAACTGAGCGCCTGGAAGACAGAGTCCGGATGTGAGATGGCTATGTCCCTAGTTTAGAGGTCCGACATGGCCCAGAAATGGCATCGGCCAGCATCTGTTACTGTTGAATTCAGTTCAGATAATGTGGGGTTAAAGAACCCCAGCCCTAGAGGCACCGCCTTCGGAGCGCACCAACACATGTAGGGAAACCGCCTCGGTTCTTACTCCCGACAGGGTCATTATGAGTCGGAATCGACTCGACGGCAACGATATTTTTTACTTAGGTAAATACTGCAGAGTAGACCCTGAGGCTGCTTCGCCCCGCATTTGCGCTCAGTTTTCCCCCCAAGAACGCTCTTAGTACAATCCCGGGATTCCCCCGCCGCTACCCGCCCCCTGACGACATGGGGTCCCCCCGAGGCCCCGCCCCCGTCTCGGCCACGCCTTCTTCGGCGGGAGGTGCGAGCGGTGCTTGCCGGAGAGAGCAGCCATGGCAGGGCCGCGCACCCCGACCGTCCCGGATGTCCCCGTCGCCCCCTGGAAACGCCACATTGTGCTGCAGCTGCGGCAGCGGGATCGCACGCAAAAGGCCCTCTTCCTGGACCTGATGCCAGCCTGTGAGTGCGCGCTTAGAGAACAGCCATTGAGAGGGCTCCGGGCGCCGGGAGAGGGTTTGTCTGACTCCTCCGGTTGTGACTCCAGCAAATCATCCCCTTCTCGCCTCCGAACCCTTGTGTTTGCTGGACCAGACTGTGTGGCATGTTCCACCTCCGACTGGCCAGAATTCCAGCCCCTTCCAATCCCTGCGGTTCACAGGGTAGGGCCTGGCTAATCCATTTGATCCCCATAGCCCAGTGAAGGACCGGCGGGACTGCCCAGAGCTGACACTTGTTGGCCAGTCAAGTGAACGAGTGAAACTGTGAGTTCTAGGGAGGAAATTCTGAGTTCCAGGCTCTGCCACCGATAGGTGGTCATGGTGCAAGTGATGGAGCACTTCCGTGCCCAGCTCACCCCAGCCTGAGGGAGAAGCAGGGGACCCCAGGCTGCATGAGAGAGTTGGCTGAGCCCCAGCAGATTGACAGAGTTGTTCCTGGGCAGCTGGTCTGAGGGGGTGTAGGCAGTTCTTGGAGGAATGAACAGGTGTGCATCTGTGTGTAGGGCCTCTGATCACCTTCACTTCACCTAAGATTGTAGCTTTGGAGCTGAATGTCTAACCACAATCCCTTCCATTCCCTCACTGGGCCTAATCGTGGCTGCTGCTTGGGTCCCCTCAACCCTACCCCTCCCCGCCCCATCTCCAAACCGAATCTGCTGCTCTTGTCCTGGGAGATTTCTCTGCAGCTTTCCAGGCTGCTGGTCCTCTGCCTTCAGGGTTGTGAAGTCAGCCCTCTGCCTCCAGGCAGCCTCACCTCACTGATCTGATGGACAACAGAAACATCCAATTTGAGGAAGGAGTTATCCCCCCCATGCTATGGGAGCTGCAGAGACTGGAGGTCCAGTCCTGCTCTGGGGTCTTGGGCAGGTCATATCCCTATGCTTCAGATTTCTCACCTGTAAATCTGGGGTAATAACACCTTCTTTAGACATGCTGGGGGGCCAATGCAGTGCCCTGGGAATTGGGTAAGGGAAAGGAACGGAGGAGCTAGTCCTGGCCTTACTACTCCTTGCCCTTACCCCAGAATTGCTGAGAAAAAAGGAAGTTACCATGTATGGGAGTGGAGGGGGTGTGTTCCAGGGTCTGTGGCAGAAACTACCAATTTTAAGGTTTGCTGGATAATTGCCTAGGGACTTTCTACTCTGGCCTGGGGGGAACCTCACACCAGCCCTGGGTGAGTCAGGATTATTTTTCAGTCCATAAAGTTAGAGCCCATGGAGGAGAAGTGTCTTGCCCAAGACTACAGGCAGGCGGAGCTCAGTCTGTTTCATCACTCCCTCTCCTCCCCATGGGGTCAAGCCCTGCCCTGGGGAAGGCCTGAGTCAGTTCTTCCCTCAGGATCCACAGCGGGCAGTGCTCAGCAGTCTCCTTCTGCAGCAGTGGCTGTCTCTTTGTCCGTGAGGGAGCAGGCCCTCTTCTCTTGGGTGGGCCTGGGGGCTAGTGCTTTGAGGAGGCCGTGCCTTCAGACTGTGGGGCTGCAGTAACGTCCTTCAGGCAAGGGGCAGAGCCCAGCCCTCTAGTAACTTCCCCATTCCTGGTGTCCCTGGGCTCCTGCAGCCCCTAGCAGCCAGAGAGGTAGTTTGTATGCAAGGGGTCTGCTGAAAAGTGTCTGTCTCTGCCCCAATCACTCTGTTGTACCCCCAGATAACCGTCTCCTGGAGAAGGCTGAGCTGCTGGCCCAGTTCTCAGAGAAGCTTCAACCGGAGCCCAGCGATGTCACTCCCACCACCCACCAGGGTCCCTGGTGAGTGTATTTGTGTCCATGGTCACAATGGGCTGCCTGTGTCCGGGCCCTGCCCCCACCACCCAGACTGGGTTCATTCTTTCCCTGGCACCTCATCAGCCCCTGGCTGCTGCCCAGGGGAGGGGGAAGGCAGCTCCCAAGCCTTTCTCCAGGCCAGCTGCTTAGAATCTCCTCCTTCTCTCCCACACATCTCAGTCCATCTCTGCATTTGTCCTGTTCTCCCCGCCCCCTGCCGTCCCCCCCTGCCCCCGCCACTCTTCCCCTTCTGTTTCTCTGATCTTTACCCCTTGCCTGCAGAAAGGGTCTTGTTCCCTATTCCAAAGAGAGGGTGAAGATGACAACCAGGAATGGGTTGGGGCTCAGGGTTGGGAGGTGCTTCCTGAGGGTTCCTTGGCCAGGGAACCCAAGGCTTGAGGGAATCCCAGAGCTCTTTGCTCTATTGGCCTGCTGGCTTCCATCTTCCCCCCCGGAGAAAGTTAAGTGTTTCTTGTTTCAGGCTTTTCATGCTGTTCCCCCTGGGTGCTTCTGGGCACTGGGGTGGAGGGACAATGAGCACTACTCTCTGATTGGTTTGGCAGGGAGGAGGAGTCGGGGCCTGACTCAGGCCAAGTCCCATCACCAGCCAATCTGAGAGTGAAGTGGCAGGAGGAGGAGGAGGGGCTCCGGCTGGTCTGTGGTGAGGTAGGCTGGGCAGAGAGAGAATGGGGAGGGGTCAAAATGCAGATCTTTAGGGGGGATGTGGTTCAAAGGAGTTAGCAAGTGAGTGAAGGGCGCTGTTTGCTGCATTCCCTAAGTCCAGTGCTGCAAGCACTGAGTGAGCCCCAGCTGTTTACCAGTTCCTTGCTCTGAGCCTTGGCAGGGGTCAGAGTGCTCTATAGGTTCCCTCTAGCCTCTCAGGATGGAGTGGGCTCCAGCTGCCGCTGAAGGGAGTGAAGTGAGACCTCAGGGAGGAGTGTGAGGTATGCAGTAGGCCTGGCACTTCTATCCCCCCCTCCCCCAGCCCAGACTACTCTGTTCATCCCTGACTCACACCTCTGCCCACTCCTCACTCCTTGTCCCCCGAGCCCCAGGGCTTAGCCTCTGTAGTTGATGCCCTACACACACTTGCAGACAGTAAATAAAGTGATCTACCTACTTCCTTTTCTGGCTCCTTTCCCTCCTGTCTTCCCTCCCTTAAATGTGGGTGTTTCTTGGAGCTTGACCTGGGCTCTGCTGCACTTTTCTGTCTACACATGTCCTCCCCGGATGGGGTCACCGAACCCTAAGGCTTCAGGGACTTTCTCTGTCAGATCTTAGTCTCCAGCTAGCCCTTTCTTATGAGCTGCAGACTCTTTCGCCCAGCTGCTTTTGGGACATCACATCTAAAATCAGATTTACCGTCCGCCCTGTAGTAATATGGTCAATACCATGTTGAGAGTTGACTCCCTGCCAGTACTGGGCTAATAAGCACTGTCTCAGTTGATCCTCCACAACTATATGGATGCAAAGGAGGAAACTGAGGCCCCTTGGGGTGGCTGGAGTAGCAGACCCTGTCTCACTAGCATCTCTGCCAGAGACGGGTTGGGGGCCTGGAGAAAGCCCTATTAAGAGGTGCCTATACCCACCTGTCGGACTCCTCCACTGCCCCCAGATGGCCTACCAGGTGGTGGAGAAGAGCGCAGCCCTGGGCACCTTGGAATTGGAGCTGGAGGAGCGGCAAGGCAGGTGAGGCGCGGGTGGTTGGGAGAGGGACCTTTCGCCTGGGAAAAGCTCGGGGCCATCTCTGCCCGTGTGGCCCCGCGAGTCTTCAGAAAGGCCCGAGAGTTTCCCCCACGTCCCCAAACACCCCCAGACTTATGGCTAGTCTCGGAGGAGCCGAACGGCAGGGCTCTGAGGGCGGAAGGCTTGGTTGTAGACTTGGTTTAGCCACTTGGCTGTGAGACCGGTTCCCACAAAGCGGTGACGGAGAAGCCTTCCGACCCACCCCTTGCTCTCTCTGCCGCCTCCAGGCTGGCAGCGCTGGAGGCCAGCGCAGCACAGTTGAAGGAGGCGCGGGCAGGGCTGACAGAGCAAGTGGAAGCATGGCAGGCGCTGAACGCGGCGCAGCGCGCGACCTACGATAAGCTGCGCGAGCACGCCGGGCTCCAGGAGGTGGCACTGCGCAGGCTTGAGGAGGAGGCGCGCGACCTGCTGGAGAAGCTCGTGCAGCGCAAAGCGCGCGCCGCCGCCGAGCGCAACCTCCGCAACGAGCGCCGGGAGAGGTCAGGAGTTGGGCCCCGCCCCTTCTGAGGGTAGATCCGGCCCTTTTTGTGGGTGTGAGCGGTCCCGCCCCTGTGGGGAAGGAGTCCGGTCTTGCTGCTGTCGGAAAGTAAAGCTGGGATCCGACATAAGAGAGGCTACCAGGCCCCGCTCTGGCCTGGGGGCGGGAGCATCCCGTGCCCCACTTCGGTGTGTGGCGCTGCGTCGGTCACTCAGGGTGTTTCTCTCCCTCCAGGGCCAAGCAGGCGCGGGTCTCGCAGGAGCTGAAGAAGGCTGCTAAGCGGACTGTGAGCATCAGCGAGTAAGAGCGGGGATGGGCCGGGACTTACCCAAACCGAGCCTCCGCCGCCCGCCCGTCTGACTCCCGGGCTCTGGAGCCGCCCTGCTATCAGGCCGCTGCCTGCATTCCCCCGGTACACACATACGTGCATGCGGTGACACAGCTGTGGTCACAGGGTTCCCACGGAGACACAGCGCACAGGATACATGCAGAACCACCACACGTGTGCCCACACGAACTCACCTCGCTGGGTTTTCACCGTTTCACTATGTTGAGCACTGGGAGGGTGGGGGAGGAGGGGCTGGCCTGGTCCCTTGGCCTTCCTAAGCTTCATTTCCTCTCCCAGGAACCCAGACGTCCTCTGCGATGGGGTCAGGGAGGGGGCGGAAACTGTGGCCCTGGCAACTCCGCCAGAGTCCCTGGAGAGTGAGGCTTGTGAGAAGTGGAAGAGGCCCTTCAGGTGAGGACCCAGGTGGCTGTCCCAGAGCCCCAGGGCAGCCCTTTGGTTGGGTGGGGAGGGCTAGGGGAGACTGAGGTGCATCTCAGACCTCCAACAGATAGGTCTGACCTCTAGTGTCACTTGGGGTCATTGCCACTTTCGGGACCTCAGGCCCTGTGCTCATTCCTTCTCCTTCCCAGGACCAGAGCTCAGAGGCTGGTGAAAGGGTATCACCATGAGGGAACCTGTGGGCAGGGCCAGGGCTCAGCTGCCCCAAGCATGTGTATGCAGGCACAGGTGTGCATGTGTTAGCATGCACAAGGACATGAATGCATGTGTGTACAGCCTTGGGTGAGCATACCTGGCTGCGTATGAGCACATGGCATGTGTACATGTGTGCTCACACAGGTGGGATCTGATGGGGCTTCTGGTGCGCCCCTCCCCAGTCCTTGGGTGCCCCTCCATTCTGTCTTGATTTGCCTGACATTGATGCTGCTCCTCTCCATCCCAGTCCTTACGCCCAGCCTAAAGGCCCTTCTCCTTCAGCTTTTCCTTGCAAGTCCCCGTTGTCCAGGCCTTGGGGCAGTGAAGGAACTTTGGGGAGGAACATGAGGCACCCTGGTCCCCAAAGTCCTTGGCAGCCCTGGTGGGCCACGTCACCCCAGGATGCCTCCTCTTGAGGTCACTCAGCAGGCTTCCCTCACCTCCCTGCCCCCAACTTTGTGCTATCCCAACTTGGGGACACCCTCACTCCTTCCCTTTCCCACGGCCTCCAGCTCAGCCTCCCAGGAATGTCTGTGGGCACTTCGGGGTGGGGCAGTGCTTATTGTCATGGTGAAGACTTTGGGAGACTTTCATTGCCAAATCCCTCCCTGTCTCCACCTTCTTGGAATAGTCTGAGTCACTCCTACCCTCCTGGTCTCCGAGGAGTCATGTCCTGTCCCAGACTTGAGAAGCTGTGAGCCTCCAAGTTCCTAGCGAGGTGTAGGGATGAATGACCGCACCATCCACCAGCCAGCCCCTCAGTGTCTCTCTCACGGTTCTGCCCCAGGTCTGCCTCCGCCACCTCCCTGACGCTGTCCCGCTGTGTGGATGTGGTGAAAGGTCTTCTGGAGTAAGTGTGTGTGTGCCTGAGTATGTACCCACTTGTTTTGGGCCCCTTGGAGCCCTGTGTCAGGCTCTTCAAGCCCAGGCTTGGTCTGTGTGTGCGGCTCAGTCTGTCCATCTAGATGTTGCCCAGTTGTCTGCGTGTGAGTCTCTGCTGAGCCCCAGAGGCAGGAGCTGGGTGTATAGCCTCATCCCTAGCTCCTGCTTAGCTGTCTCTCAGGCTATGCCCCTAATCCAAGGTCTCAAAGGGGACCAAGAGCTCTAGCTGGGGGCTGGACAGGGGCTACCACTCCATCGGGAAACAGGCTCAGAAATGTTAGGGACTTGTTCAGGGTCACAGAGCCAAGCAGTGGCAAGGCCAGGACTGAAACCCCAGCCCCTAGGTTTCTCTGCATCCACCGACCCTGCCCTGCCTCTACTTGTTTATGTGTCCTCCACCCAGTCTCCACTCTGACCCCCTGGATGGAGGCTGAGTAGGGAATGTGCTCGCTGCACCTCAGGGCTATGTTCTGCCACCTGCCATGTCCGCTTTCCTGTGCTGCCTCAGAGGAGCTTGAGGCTCCCACATCAGGTCTTGTTGAATGTTTCCCTGGCCCCCTTCCCCCCAGTTTCAAGAAAAGGAGAGGTCATTCAATTGGGGGAGCCCCTGAGCAGCGATACCAGAGCATCCCGGTGTGCGTGGCTGCCCGACTTCCTACCCGGGCTCAGGATGTGCTGGTAAAGGGGGGTTGGGCCATGTGCCTGGGGTCTGAGATGGGAAGTGTGGGCCCTAGGGGTGGTCTGAAGAGGCCAGGAAAGCAAGGGTGGGATCCTCAGCAGGAGCAGGTTTTTTTTCCCCCAGTGTTTTATAATGGGAGATGGACTGGAGAGGGAGAGATGAAGTGGGGAGACCAGCAGGTGAGGTGGGGGAGTGAGGTGAGGGTGGAGGGAGGCTGTTTCAGAAGTTCAGGCAGAGGTAATGAGATGTGGTGGGGCCGGATCCGCCCAGGTTTGAAACTCAAGGTTTGGGCAGAGAGACCTGGGGTGAGGACAGTAGGCCAGCAGCAGGCTGTGTTTGTGCACGTGTGTGTGCAGGTTCTTGTGAGTGTGCACAGGGAGGCGTGCATGGGGAGCACTGGGGCATCAACCTCTCCTTTCCCCCACAGGATGCCCACCTCTCTGAGGTCAATGCTGTTCGTTTTGGCCCCAATAGCAGCCTCCTGGCTACTGGAGGGGCTGACCGCCTTATCCGCCTCTGGAATGTCGTGGGAGGTAAGGATCCCTCCCCTGCAGGCCAATCCAATGCCAGCCTCATCCTTATCCTGCACCTTGGTGGGCAGAGGTCTTGGACCTCATTGTATCTCCAACTGGAACATTCCTGTGAGTGAGGGGGCCAAGTATTGGGCCTCATTCCTCTGAAGAAGGGGAAGCCACCAGCCTCTGTGGTCCATGCGAGGGGAGGGGGGTCCCCTATCATGAGGTCCTGCAGGGACAGGCCCTTGAGGAGCAAGCCCCTGGGTTCCACCAGGCTGCCTCCCCTTCTGGTATCACTGCAGCTCCCAGAACTCAGTTAAGAGACAAACACTATCTACTTTGTGCCAAGCTCTGTAGAGGAGGTGTGTCGGGCAGTCAGGATCAGCTCTTGGAGGCTTCCTAGAGGAGGGAAGTCTCCAGCTAGCCTGGCCTCAGGCTTGCTATATGATCTAGGGACAGTCTGGTCCTCTGTAGCCCTGTCTGTGAAATGACCAGCTGCCCTCTGGGGCCGCTTGCTGGCCATTAGGGGAAGTGCAGCCTCCAGCCTAGGCCCACCCAGAATAGACCAGTGATTAGTTCCTTTAACTTGGGAGAGGATGATCTTCCCACTCTCAGCCTCAACTCCTCCATTTCATGAGGTTAGTGTCCTCATTTCACCTGTTCTCATCCCCTCAGGTCGCCTGGAGGCCAACCAGACCCTCGAAGGAGCTGGTGGCAGCATTACCAGTGTGGACTTTGACCCCTCGGTGAGGGGACTTTGCCCAGTGGCATGGCCTATTCTTCCCCCTCCCCCAATCTCCACGTGCTGGGGCAGATGACCCCTCAGGGCAGGTGGGAGCATCATCACTATAGTTGAACTGGGCCCTCAGACTTCTATGCAGATCCTCCTTCCTGGGCTGAGAGACTCCTCTGCCTGACTTCTTTTTGGCCTGGGAGTGTGGGAAGCTCTGAGGCAGTCCCTACCCCAGCTCTCTGGCCTGAGGGATGTTGCCTGTGGGCAGGCCCAGGTTTAGGACCTGTCCTTTCCTTCCCATCTCTCTAGGGCTCCCAGGTATTGGCAGCCACTTACAACCAGGCTGCCCAGCTCTGGAAGGTGGGGGAAGCACAGTCTAAGGTGAGCCCGACTGGAGAGGCCGCCTGGGAGGTCTGGGGTCGTGCTGCAGGACTGGGAGGGGGTGTTAAAGTGTCTTGGCGATGCCCTTAATTCATACCTGGGATGGGGTGGGGGCAGGAGACGCTATCTGGACACACGGACAAGGTGACAGCTGCCAAATTCAAGCTAACAAGGCACCAGGCGGTGACGGGGAGCCGAGACCGAACAGTGAAGGAGTGGGACCTTGGCCGCGCCTACTGTGAGGCTCAGCACTCGCCTCCCACTTTCCACCCACTGGGAACCCCTGGGCCCAGACATGAGGGACCTCAGCCTGATCTCTGGGGTCTCAAGGGTGAAACGTCCCAAGGCCCTCCTGCTCTGTCCTCCATCCTTGCTTTCTGCCTCATTTCTTGGAGTTCGCAAGCTTTGGGTGGGTGAATAAGAAGTGAAGAGAGCCCTGGGCTGGGTGGCGGGAGGCCTAGGTTCTAGTTTTGGGAGGACACTGCCCCTCTGGACTTCAGCTTTCCTATATGTCCAGTGGGCTGGCTCCTGACAGCCCTTCTCTCAGGTCCTGGAGCTCTGCTCCTTGTTGCCCAGGTTCCAGGACCATCAACGTCCTTTCCTACTGTAATGACGTGGTGTGTGGGGATCATGTCATCATTAGTGGCCACAATGACCAGAAGATCCGATTCTGGGACAGCAGGTAACAGGTGGCAGACTGTGGGTGATGGTGGAGGCCCGGGGACAGGGTTCCCGCATTCTGTTTCTTTTCTGTGACTATGGGGAAGTCAGCATTATTTTTTCAGTCTAGAAAGTTAGAGCTCCTGGAGAGGAAGTGACTTCCCCAGGACCATAAGCAGGTGGAGCTGTCGAGGGAGACTTGGAGGAGAATGAGGCTGTGGGGCTGGCACTGTCAGCTGTTGACCTCCCTGGGCTGGGCATGGATCCTTGTGCTCAGCTGTCCCCAGGGAGCTGTGCCAACTTCTTAGTGGCCATTGGTCCAGCTGCTGGACTCTGCCTGGTTCTTGCCAACCAAGATAGAGAAGCACCTTTCTCCATGAAGTTACCATTTTTTAATCAAAAGGATTTTTTTTTTTTAAAAGTAGCTGTTTTAAACGTTTAAGAGCTCAATTTGTGTTTATAGTAGTTTATAGACCATTGCTGGAGTCAATGCTGGGCCTGCCTCAGGCTTTTTCTAATTGGTCTGAAGAGATTGCTATTGGAAACCCTTCTCGCCCTATCACATACTTTAAAGAGACTTTTCAGTGCTTCCCCTCCTGTGCTTATTTTAGTGACCCAAGGGTTTCAGGGGCTCCAGCTCTCCAGTCAAAGGCTGCTTCAGTTCCTTGTTGGAGGGGCAGGCTGCAGGGGGGAGAAGGGGGCAGTCATGGTAGGCATTGGTCTCAGCACTCAGAGGCACTGGGTGCTTCTGGACTCTGTTAGTTGAGAAAGCTGCCTTGCCCAGTCTCATCCTGTCAGGAGTGGCCTGGGTGGGCTGTTCCTCATCCCCGTCCCTGTCCCTGCTCTGCAGGGGGCCCCGTTGTACCCAGGTCATCCCTGTGCAGGGCCGGGTCACCTCCCTGAGCCTCAGCCATGACCAGCTGCATCTGCTCAGTTGTTCCCGTGATGACACACTCAAGGTCATCGACCTGCGTGTCAGCAATATCCGCCAGGTGTTCAGGTACCAGCCCCATGCCCACTGACCCTGAGACTGGAGCTGGGGCAGCTGGGCCTCACTTCCCCTGTAAAAGGCCTCCCAGGGCCCTGTCAACCGGGGCCCTGCCTGGAGGCCCCTCTAGACCAGGGTCTGCTGAGGTGCCCAACCCTTGACAGACCTAAGTGTCAGCAATATTTCCCAGATGTTCAGGAACCAGTCCTATGCCCGCTGACCCTGGGATTGGGGCTGGGGCAGCTGGGTCTCACTTCCCCTATAAAAGGCCTCCCAGGGTCCTGCCAGCTGGGGCCTTGTCTGGAGGCCCCTCTAAACTAGGGTCTACTGAGGTGCCCAACCCCTTGACAGAGAAGGGAAGCTCTTGAAACTCCTGGCTGAGGGGCAGGTGCTGCCTCCATTCTGACCCTAGACCTCTTCTGTCCTCAGGGCCGATGGCTTCAAGTGTGGTTCTGACTGGACCAAAGCCGTGTTCAGGTGTGTCTGTGAGAGTATATGCCTATTCCCTAGTGTGCCATCTGACTGTGTGTGTGTGTGTGTGTGTGTGTGTGTCTGTGTGTGTCTGTCCTCACCTCTGACCCCCTTCTCTCGCTTGCTCTGCTGTGGCTGCCGCAGCCCGGATAGAAGCTATGCACTGGCAGGTTCCTGGGACGGAGCCCTTTATATCTGGGATGTAGACACTGGGAAACTGGAGAGCAGCCTTCGGGGACCCCACTGGTGAGCTTGACCGCTACCCACCTGCCTGCCCAGCCCAGGGGCCAGTGCCACCCTCTGCTAAGCCGATTCCAGATTCTGATATGCTCGGGACCCTGGAGTACCCAGCTGTGCACTGCAGCCTCCCTTCCACAAGAGCCCTTCACAGTTCACCATTGCCTTCCCAGTGCACTTGGATTCCATCCTCACTACAGCCCTTCGAACCCATTTTATAGATGAGGGGACAAATTCAGGGAGGGGCTTCAAACTGCCAACATCCAACATTGAGGGGCTGAACCAGGGTGCAGGCTGAGCTCTGACGTCCCCTGAATCCCTGCCTACCCTCTTCTCAGTGCTGCTGTCAACGCTGTGGCCTGGTGCTACTCCGGGAGCCATGTGGTGAGCGTGGACCAAGGCAGGAAGGTTGTGCTCTGGCACTAGGGCCAGCACTTGGCCTGCCTGGGCTAGAGCGCTAGTCCACAGGCATCCAGAGAACAGCTTCCCACTGTTGCATGGGGCTTAAGAGCCAGCCTCCAGAGCCGGCCTCCAGAGCCGGCCTCCAGAGCCGGCCTCCAGAGCCAGCCTCCAGAGCCAGCCACCAGAGCCAGCCTCCAGAGCCGGCCGCCAGAGCCAGCCGCCAGAGCCAGCTGGAGGGGTTGGCGGTGAGAACAGGGTGGAGGAATGGGGATGGCCTCCGGGGGCTTAGTAGGGAGGAGGAAGGCCTGGCAGGACTTAGCCTGTTTGTTTAAAAATAGAGTGTGAGTTGAGGGGAATACAGTATTTTTGTTTCTTGTCTCAATCTCTTAATTTCTCCCCCAATACCGGAAAAAAAAACAAACAAAAAACATTTAAACCAGTGTCTGCTTGCCTCTTTGCAGCATTCAGGGTATAGTGAGGCCTCTGGGCTGGTGGGTGAAGAAAGGCCTAGAGGCAGCATAGAGCAGGGACTCTCAGCCTGAGAATTTCACCCTTGGTCCAACCTGGCCATGAGGTAAAACCAACACTTGGTCCTTCCTGAGGCTAGGCCCTGGGCTGGGGAGGCTCCTGCTTTATGCCCCAGGCTAAACAGGCTGAGGAGGGGCTGTGGGAGCTCCAAGGAGGGAGCAGGGGAGGCAGCCCAGCTGGCCCCTGGTGGAAAGGGTTCTAAAAAACCAGAGTGATGTCAAAGCACTTGGTAAACCAGTGTCACATTCTTACTCCAGGGGTAGAGCCTGAAGGGGGTGGGGAATGGCCTCTGTGTGTCTGTGTTTTGGGAGGGCTGCCATGGGCCTAGCCTGGGCCTGGGGCTTTGTTTACATTCCGTCAAATTCAACCTGCACAACAGGCCTCTGAGTATGAGGCAGGGGCAGACCCTACTCCAAGCCCCAACCCATGGCTGGGCACTCAGGCACAGAGCTCAGGGCTGGGAGACAGATGCAGGGGAGGGTTCAGCAGGACGGCCATTGCCAGTCAGTATCGCAAGGGGACTGCCATCCCTGAGGGAGGGGGGCTGACCTTCAGGGGTCTGTTCATCGAAGATTCAAAGGTGGTTGCAGGGTTTATCCTGGAACCCTTGACTTTCTTTTCAAATTCTCCCATGGGGATCCTTCCTAGTCCCAGGGTTTGGAAGCCATTTCCAGGATGTGCAGCAGAGGGTGAAGAGCATGGACTCTAGCTAGACTAGACTAGACTGGGTTTCAATCAGCTCCACTATTTAGTAGCTGAATGACTTTGGGCAAGTTTCTTAACATCTTTGTGCTCTAGTTTCCTCATCTGTAAAATGGGATAATGGGATAATAGTACCTACCTCAAAGGGTTGTAACAATTGAGTGCTTTAATACTTGTGAAGCTCCTGGTAAATGCTGTGCAAGTGTTGGTCAGATACCAAAACCTACACTCCACTGACTCCTTACTCTTGGCCCAGCTGTCCCCTGAGTTCTAGGTGGTATGTCTAGCTGCCTCCTGAACTTCAGTCTCCCCTGCATGTTAGCTCCTCTTTCCCTCACAGAGCAGCAGCTTGTTTAACTCCACCCCTGCTATCACTACAGGCCACCTTGTAGATTTAATCTTTCCACACAATCTCCTTGCCATGGCCAGAGTGACTTTCTAAGTTGTCTTGGTCACACACGCAACCCTTTGAGGTTTCTCTAAAGGCTGAAGAGAAACTCCTGGGCATGAAACTCAAAGTCCCCCTGCCCCCCCTTTCTTTTTTTGATAAAGGTTTACAGAACTAACTTCTCATTAAACAGTACACATATTGTTTTGTGACATTGGTTACCAACCCCACAACATGTCAACACACTCTCCTCAACCTTGGGTTCCTTATTATCAGCTTTCCTGTCCCTTCCTGTCTTCTGGTCCTCGCCCCTGAAACTCAAAGCCGTTTGGATGCAACCTGCTGTCTTCCCCAGTTGCACCTTCATTTCCTTCCATTCTGAATGTTGTCTCACACATGCTTTTCTTTCTACACAAAATGTTCTTCTCTCTCAGCCCTAACTCAGATTTGTCCTTCAGGAGTCACTGAGGCATTCCCCCACTGCCAGGCTGGACCAGGGGCACCCTTGGTCCCTGTGATTTGCTGCCCCCCATTTGAGTCAGGAGCTCCTGGAAGGGACCAGGATGGGAATGAAGTATTCTGTGATCAGGCCTGGCACAGAGAAAGCCTCAGGAATTGTTTATTAAATAATTTTTTTTTAAGGACTCATCAAGTCTAACAATTTAAGATCTTAGGATTCCAATGTTCTTTGAATCTAAGACTTCTCATCATCCTGCAGCCCCTTCCCTACCCTGCCCTAGTCCTCATTTGCTGGTTCCCAGTGGCCACCAGGGGTCACCAGCTGCCTAGTCGCTGCTGAAGCCACTCTCCTGTCTCCTGGGATTCATGGCTGGCACTTCGAGTATCCACCTGTCTTAGTTATCTAGTGCTGCTGTAACAGAAATACCACAAGTGGATGGCTTTGACAAAGAGAAGTTCATTCTCTCACAGTCCAGTAGGCTAGAAGTCCGAATTCAGGGTGCCGGTTTCAAGGGAAGGCTCTCCATCTCTGTTGGCTCTGGAGGAAGGTCCTTGTCATTAGTCTTCCCTTGGTCTGGGAGCATCTCAGTGCAGGAACCTCAGGTCCAAAGGATACGGCTCTGGTCCTGGCACTGCTTTCTTGGTGGTATGAGGTCCCCAACTCTGCTTGCTTCCCTTTCCTTTTATCTCGTAAGATAAAAGGTGGTGCAGGCCACACCCCACGGAAACTCCCTTTACATTGCATCAGGAATGTGACCTTAGTAAGGTTGTTATAATCCCATCCTAATTCTCTTTAACATAAAATTACAATCACAAAATGGAGGACAACCACATAATACTGGGAATCATGGCCCAGCCAAATTGATACACACATTTTTGTGGGGACATAATTCAATCCATGACACCACAATTACTGAGTGCTTATGATGTATCAGGCCCTGTGCTCTGCACTTTTCATGAAGTATCTCATTTGTTCCACAACCACCTGTGGTGTAGGTATCCTCTCTATTTACAGATGAGAAAACTGAGGCTCAGAGATGTTGTGATTTAAGATCACACAGCTAGTAAGTGGAATAGCTGGAATGTGACTGTATTATTCTTTTTTGCAAAATGTCAGGGAATCCAGGCTCCCAGTTGGGCAGGGCTGTAGGGCATGTCTTCTCCCCCAGTGGTATGCCCTCTGTCTGCCACTACTGGGGGTGTGAGTCTAGCTTTGTGTCTAACCTAAATCTTTCCACCTCTGACTTCTCCCTGTTTTCCATTCTGGGCCCCTCGGTGCCTGTTGGTGTGGGATTGTCTCACCTCAGGGAGCACGTGTATGCCTTCACTTGCTTGGAGGTTCTTCCTAGAGGAGCAAATCTGGAAGACCAAAGACAGGCCAAGGCATTCTAGGGAATAAGGCAGGTGTAGAGAAAGAGGTGCTAACACAGATTGAGCAGGGGAGATGTTCAGAGGGGAGGCTAGCTGGGAAGGCCGTACCTCCTAGTCTTTGCAGTGTCTGTTCGGTAGAGGGGGTGGGAGTAGAACCTAGTAAACCTCTTCAAGCTTTCGGCACTCTTCAGGTTTTCGGTACTCAGCACTCAGGGGCTGTCTGCCTGAACTGGGTCCCTAATGTCAAAACTAGGAGCCCTGGTGGTGTAGTGGTTAAGAGTTCGGCTGCTAATTGAAAGGTCAGCAGTTCAAATCCACTAGCCGCTCCTTGGAAACCCTATAGTGCAGTTCTGCTCGGTCCTATAGGGTCACTATGAGTCGGAATTGACTTGACAGCAATGGGTAATGTCAAAACTGGAAGAGTCTGAGATGACCTACACCCCTGCTGTGTACATGAACTGAGGCCCAGAGAGAGGGCAGGGCCTTGCTCAGGGCCACATAGCAGAGCTGGGAGAAGAACCCAGGCCCTGTTTTCACCATTTTAAACAACAATTCAGCTTCTGCCGGGAGGGGCTGGCCAGGCCTTCTGGATGCCCACTTTTAGGTTCTGCTCCCAGTTGTTTTCCTGACATCTTGAGCAAATCACAGTGACTTCCAGCCTCTCAGATCCCAATCTGTGAAATGGGGACAGATCCCAACTCTGTCCCTGCCCAAGGGTTTGGGCCTTACCAAAGCTGACACAGCTCTTCTCCAGGGCTGTCCCGTGGGTGTGAATACTGCCTCCTCCGTCTGCCTTGCCCAATCTCAGGCCTCAGTGAGCCTAACACCCCTGGGAGGGAGGAATGAGAGAAGCCCCTGTTCTGAACTCCTGCTGCCCCTTGGTCATCTCCTTGTCTTGGCAAATGCACTTTGGCTTGAGTGCTATTTCCCTGCATCTCCTCCACCAGACATGAGCCCCTTAGTGGCAAGGATTGGATCTGAGTCATCTGTGTCTCCAGTGCCCAAGCAGGGCATGGGGCAGCAAGTTTGCTAAATGGACAATAGCAATTGAATACAGGTGGCCCTGGCCCTTAAGATGTTCTTTGGAGAAATCCTGATGGCACAAGCTGTGGACCCATCTTGGTGTGGGATTCAGACATACCATGTCTGTGTACAGGCCATTTTCTTTCTCCAGATGCACAACTAGTAACCACATATATTTTCAGCTTATCTGTACATTATCTTATTTGAGGCTCCAAATCTCAGAAATTTGTATTATCTTCTCATTCTCACTTTACAGATGAGAAAAGCAAGACTCAGAAAAGTGGAGGGATGAGCCTAAGGTCACAGCTAATCTGAGGTGGCTCAAGGACTGGATTATGGGCCTTTTGAGCACGGCTCCAGGGCCCTTTCCCTGCCCCTCAGAGGAGCAAGCAAAGACAGCAAGGACATTCATGGTTTCACTTCTGTTATGTTTCAGGATAAAACATTCCAAGAAAACATTCCCAGACCAGACCTCTCAGAAATAGACATGGTAGAAATACTACATGTGTTTTCTTGGCCAGTTGGGACCAGGGGAAAATAGTTCAGGAACAAGATGCTCTCTGGCATTCATATGATTCTTGGCAGATGAAGCAGTAGCAAAGCAAACACAAAGTCTAGGAGGAAACATACTGGCTGTGTCAAGTTGTAGATTTCAGGACAAATTACAATTCTGACCCTTCTAAAATTTCTGTAATTTGGTTGTATTTTTGTCATGAAAAGCCAACTTCATAATGAACAGAATAAATGCAAAGATTTAGAGCAGCCAAATTTTGTCATAAGGCCACTCAGAGGGCTGGGCAGTAATTGGTCCCAAAACCAAAAGCCGTGGCTGGGATCCTTGGGCAGTGAGTGAACAGAGCATCCTGGGATGTAATCACAGCCTAGGAGACGAGAGTTTGCTTTGTGCCAGTGGAAGGGAGAGTTCAGTGGCTTAAATTTTCAACTGCTTGCCATCCCGAGAAGTCTGCTCCCAAGTGTTGTGACTTTTTGTGTGATGTTCCCACTCTGCATCTAGAAATTGAACTTAACCCAAAACATGAGCATTCTGTTTTTTTCAAAGCTGGGGATATGGCAGTCCAGATTGGGACAGGTCAGACATCAAGCAATGGCAGGGCTAAGGTCAGATGACATCCTCCCACCATGTCCCCATGTCTGGCCAATGGAGGAGGGCTGGAGTAATGGGGTCAGAGAGGAAAGGGATCTTGGTGATGTGCTGTGAATCTAGGGCTTGATTGCATCACAGTTCCTGTGACAAAGGAGGCCACAATTTAGCTGTGACACTGGGTGGGACAATTAGCTTAACTCTGTCCCGTGGTCAAAGACTAAGCCTCTGATGTCAAATGCGAGCAGCTTTCATTGGCAGAAGGTAGAAGACCGGAATGATATTTATACAGATGACCCTTCCCATATTTACGGTGAAGCACTTTCACACACATTCCTTTCTTTGGGCCTCATGACAACTCTTTGTCACTACAAGGCTAGAAGACTACCAAGGACCCCAGTTCTAAAGGTGAGGACACCAAAGATGGGAGACGTGATGTGATGGGGAGGAATGTTTTTTGGTGACCATGCTACACACTATGTTTTGGGTCTACAGCATCGTTCTTAGGTTTCAGGAGGACATAGGGGTGCAAATTCCCATGGCTGTCAAGTGGAGGAGCCAGGATTTAAACCCAGACTCCAGAGTCCATGTTGTCATCTCATATGCTATTGGTGGGAATGTAAGCTGATACAATCTTTTTTGGAGGCCAATTTGGCAAAATCTAACAAAATTAAATATGCACATATCTTTTTGACTCTCAAATTTCACATTTAGAAATTTACTCAGTATTTATATTGGAACAAGTTTATAAAAGAAATATGTACAAAGATGTTAGTTTTAACTTTCTAATAGCAAAAGGCTGGATACAACCTGTATGTCCATCACTATAGGAATGGTTAAATTATGATATATCCAAGCAATGGAATACAAAGCAGCCTTCAAAACAAATGAGGTAGACCTAAACCTATTATTACATAGTCCCAGTTATGTAAAAAAGCAATGCGTATATGTATGAGTTTTATGCATAGAAAAACGTCTGGTAACATACATACCTCACATCCCTGGCTCCTGGAAGCCAGAGGTGCTCAGCCTTTTAACCAGGAATCTTCTGTTCACCCCTGAGACAGAATAAAATATCCTCCAACATGATTTGTTACTCTTCATTGTGGAGGTTCAGGAAAGGGGCAAGGAGTCCAGAATGCCAGCTTCCTAGAAGCCACCAGTCACATCTTCTGAGAGACTTCAGTGACCCTCCTCGCGCTCCACCCAACAGAACTGGCACTCCCTCTGTTGTGCTCACCCAGCACAATGCCCACTCCACCCTCCTAGCGTGTCACACAATACTGTCCTCATGTGTGCACCTGTCTTTTTTCCCACTGGGAAAGCACCTTGAAAGCAAAGACCATAACTCACTTATTTCTATATCTAACACCTAGGATGTTATACTGAGCACATAGGTGGCATCAGGGAATGTTTGTCACACAGATGGGTTAATTCACTCCCCCCTCTCTGTATCTGTTATAGGATTTCAAGGTGGGCCCAGTAGTGCCTTTATAAGAAGCACTGTCTATTTGGAAAAGCTTATTTACCCAAATGTTTTAAACTAAGGAAACATATAAACTTAATTCCACATTTTTATTATTCAACATTTTATACATAATAAATACAAACTTTTTACAGCCACTGTAAAGAAAGCACATCTGCACAGAGGTGCCCTCTGAGCCCAGCCTGTGCACGGTGACGCTAGACTACATGTGCTGGAGGGAGGGGTTATTTTTAAAAAGGAGGCATATTTTTACAACTTTGATTTTTAAAATAAAATTAGCAGCTCTTCCAAAAAATACTTTAAAATATAACAAAATATTTCAAATAACCTCTGAGAATGTGGAAAACCCAAACTGAAGGACAATTTGGCTAGCTAAAGAGAAAATCTGAGACTGGGTGGCAAGAAAGAACTGCTTGATTTAAGCACTTTGAAGATTTTTAACATGTTGGCAAACTTACATCTTAAAAAAAACCACCTTTTAATTTCTTTTTTAAACTTAAGAATAAGTTTGATAAACAAAAATAGAAAGACCTCAAATAGATCAACAGGTTAAGAAATGCAAAAAACAAATACAAAAAAAAAACCCCAAATCACAGAGAAGATTGATCACTGGGTATTGTCACTGAAGTGATCAAATGACTAACTGAAAATTTCTTTAGCTATGATCTTACTTTGGGTCAAAAATCCCACGGGGACGTCTGGCGAGCATTTCAAGTCTTAGAGATTCCTAGGAGGCATGAATTTTTCAAAGCATACATAAACAACTTTTGGATAAAATTCTGCAAATTTGTTAGATTTCTTAAAAAATAAAAATAAAAAAGTAACTAGCAAATATCCCTTCATCCCTATCTTCCACAGGAGGTGGAGAGCTGACAGAGTCCTACTCTGGCACACCTGTCGAGGGTTCTGACAAGCTGCTGTGCGCTCACTGGCTTGCTGAGAAAGCCACTCCTGGTTCTCCCTGTGACATGGAGAACTTGTCTTTTCATCATCAATTTGCACTTGTGCAGTATGTGCAATCCTTTAGTCCTTTGTCACAGGAAGCTGGTTTACTCCATGAGCCCACAAGCCCTTCCTCCTAAGGAGGTGTCAGATCAGTGGGACCTGGGAAGCTGCATTTTCCATGGTGAGTGGCAACTGGTCTGGACCAGCCACTACCTGGCTTTCTGGGCCAGAGCACTGGCTTGAGAATAAAATAATGCCAGGGGCCATCCCAGCAGAGAAGCTCAACAATGCAAGTCTGTGTCCTCAATTTATTTAGACATTCAGATTCTGACGATACTGGCTGGGGTCAGAAGAGTATATGCTGCAAAAATTAAGATGAAAAACTATCCCAATACAAAAAGAACATTAAACTGGCTCATTTCAGATCTGGAAGCTCCATTTCTGCTTTAGCCATAGCCTCCTTTCTATTAGTCTATGTGACGAACAAGATGTGGCTGCTAGTTCAGCCCCTCAATATTAGCTCCACTAATACTAAATGAATGGCATAAATATTAATACAAAGGACACTGTTATTGTTTTAAATCCGTTAGTTGTGGAAGGGATGTGCATTAATGCAATTGGCGCTAAACTCAGCGCAGTCCATTTTTTTCCAATAAAGTTTCACTTTCTCTGTCTGGGCATTAACTGTGGTGAGGAACCAGCCTCTCCTGAAATCCCTTCTTCTGATGCCTTATATGGCCAACATGATCTGATTAATACTTAATCAGATGAACAAAAGCCACTGTAAGGAAGATGAGAATCTCTGCCACATCCCTGTGGCCACAGTAATATACTGTACGAGTGCACACGATCAGTTATCTCTGTTACTGTGCCGTGGACTGAGGCCTGGTCTTGAGTCTCATATAAAAACGGACCACTGTTAGGCGTGAGGGCTGCCCCTCTCTGCTTCTAGGGCCCGCTAGGATTTGTGCTATGGTAGGAGAGATGATGTAGAAAATGACAACAAAAAAGGCACAAAATAGTCATAAATGTGAGAGGAGTCCACCAGGCCACCCAGTCACATATAATCCTCCTTGGTTTTGCTCTGTTCAAGAGTCATCATCATGCAAAGGTGCCTAAAAAACAAGACTGGCCAAACTCCAAGCCTGACCTTGATTGTAGCAGTCATGGATGGGCTACGCCACCATCACACCAGCGTGATCTCCACATCTTCAATCTTCTCTGCTGGCCTTCGGTGGTTCTGTGTGGGTGGAGGGGGAGCCGCCCGGACCTGAGCAGGGAAACAATCATGTGGATTTCAGTCAGCTTTCTGACTCGGTGCCCAAAACTCCAATCACTCATTTATCCAAGGACATGGGCACCCTAGGGATCACAGAAATGCTCTGAGCATGCACCTTCAATCTAACCCTATCTTCCACACTGAGAAGGAGCTGGAAGCAGTGGTGGTGGTTCAGTGGTAGAATCCTCACCTTCCATGCAGGAGACTGGGTTTTGATTCCCAGCAAATGTGCCTCAAGTGCAGCCACCACTTGTCTGTCAGTGGAGGCTTGCATGCTGCTATGATGCTTAACAGGTTTCAAGGGAGCTCCCAGACTAAGACCGACTAGGAAGAAAGGCCTGGTGATCTACTTCTGAAAGTCAGCCAATGAAAACGCTATAGCTCACAATGGTCTGCTCCCATTGTGTATGGGGTTGCCATAAGTTAGGGGCAGCTAACAACAAGAAAGAGCTCCTGTTCTGATGCAACGTCAAATCCATGAATTAGGTTCTTGCATAGGCTGAAAGCTACATGGGCACAACAGTCTTGGGTACAAGAGTCAGTGTAGCCTTATGAGCCTTTTCCAAAACAAAGTCCTGGAAGCAAGTGAGAGCAATGCTCAGAGAACTGAAAACATTTCAGCATGTCTTGGGAAGAGAGTTGCAAGAGATAAGGCTACAGAGGTGGGCTGGGGTTATGTCATGAAGGGCTTTGTTAAGCCATGTTAAGAAATCTGAGCTTTATTCTGTAGGCAAAGAGTCTTTGGTGGATTATAAGCAAGGCAGCAGCAGTATCAGATATGTGAAAAGATGACTTTGGTAACAGTTTGTAGAAAAGATCAGAGGTGGGCAAGAGTAGAAGTAAGAAGACAACTTAGTAGACTTGCGTAGTCATCTGAATGATAGCCGATGTTAGCCTGATCTAGGATAATGGCAGTGGGGGAAGCAGAGAAGTAGAAAGATTGAGAGCTGTCTCTGAGACAAACCTGGCAGGATTTGGTGATGACTGTGGAAGGCAGGGTCAGGTAGTATCAAAATGCCAGAGCACTGGTAGAATGAGGGTTCCACTCACCTAGACAGGCAATATGGGGGAAGGAGCATGTCTGGGAGGGAAGATGATTAGCTCATTTTTCTTGAGTTTTGGGGGCCTGGGGATATATAAGTTGAGATGTCCACAAATCCAAAGCTCAGGGAAGAGATGGCAGCTATAGATATGAGAGTTGTCAGTATATAAATGATATATATATATATATAAATGATAAATATATATCAAAGCCGTGGGAGTAGATGAGATCACACAGGGAATGTGAGTTCAATGACAAGAGAAGCAGCTCAGGGACAGAACCCTGAGAGGCATTAGCATCTAGGAGATGAATAGAGGAAGAGAAGCCTACAAAGGCCAGTGAAAAGGAAGGCCAGAAATGAGGTAGAAAGCAAACCAGAGAAGTGAGATGGAACAAATCTGTCTAATTCTCTCCATTCCCACCGTTATCCACTAGTCCACAATACCATCACCTCTTGCTTGGTCCACTGCTCCAGCCTCCTAACTGGCTCCCACATCCATTCTGCCACCTTCAATTCACTCTTCACTTAGCTGCTATAAAAGGCATCACTGTCCTGCTTAAATCCTCTCAATAGCTTCCTAGTCCTTAACAAGGCCTATAAAGCCCTGCCTGTATCTCCAGCTTCATAAAATAATTGTGTGATTAGGACTTTGTTTCTCCTACTAGAGTGAAGATAAGCTCTGTGAGGCAGTCTAGCTCCGGCACTGCTGTATCCCTGCAGCTGGCACTGAGCAGGTGCTCAGTACCTATCTGCTGAATGAATGAAGCCAGAGGAGCAAGTGGATCAAGGAAGGGTGCCCAATGCTGATACAGCGGTCAATAAAATTGCAAAGTATCCACTGGATTAGCAATGGGAATGTTTTGACCTTGGCAAGAGCTGTTTCATAGTGTAGTGGTGGGGTGGAATTGAGGGTGCAACAGAGTGAGGAGTAGAGGTTAAGTGCTTATATGACCAAAAGCTCTTTGAGGACATGAAGTGAATCTTATTTCGTCTCAGCATCCCTCAAAAGAGGCAAATACAGACCCGGCAAACAAGTTCTTAATAAATGCTTACTGAAAAAAAAAATGCTTCTGTTTCACAATTAGGCCATTTTAATGCTCATAGAGCATGTTATAATTTAAATACTTTCACAGCTATTATCTTGCATGATCCTCATCACGGCTGAGTGAGAAAAGTTCCAGTGTAGACCAGACCTTCCAAGAGGAATTGATTTTTATAGCCTTCCTTTGCAAGAGTTCTTTTAACCTTCCTAAACCCATTTCACCCTTGCTTGCCGGAAATCGGGTTACAACACAGGGACCATGGGGAAACATTAATTTCTAGTTTTCAATTTCGAAGATCTATGCATTATATAACCGTGCAAGATAAGAGACTTACAGGTCGCAGTTTGCCATATGAGGTCTCAGGAGTATGCCTTGGTGCCTGTGAGAATCCTGGAGATTCGGAATGGAAGCTGTTTTCTATGGGAAGAAACCAAAGAAACTCGTTTTATTTGTGTTGTTAAACAATAAAAATGCCAATGCAGTGATGTTTGCAGATCTGATTTCTGAAATGAAAGTGTATTCAGACTCATGCCCAGGAGAACCCTTACCATTTGCTGATGGAGACCGGGGGAAGTACTGGGAGCTCCTCTTGTCTGGGCTGGGGTAAGGGCTGCTGGGAGGCTGGTCATATAATGACAGTGGAGGCAGGGAACTGTGAGGCTTGGGGGAAGGAGAGATCTGCATCAGAGGGAAGAGAGGTTACAAGGTACTCACCTTCTCAGGCAGGAAAAACTTGGTGGGTCCTCTGACTACTCTGGACAAATCACTCTTCTCTGAGCCAGGTTATGACTGTTAAAATTTTTTGTCAGCCTTGTTAGAAGCAAATGAACCCAGAACAACCACTCTAAACCTCAATTTTGTGTCATATTTAACTTTTTCCTTTTGCAGATCTCCTCATCATAATACTGGTAAGTCAAACCATTCTCTAGGGTTCTATTGAAAACACAGCACATTAACTAGTCAATTCAGCAAATTCAGTGAAGAACAAAAAAGGAGACAAGTTGTATTTTTTTTTGGTGAAGATAGAATAATTGGTTGAGTTTTCGACTTCCTAGGTTTTGTAAATTCAGGCTAAGTGGCCACAATCACCACACAAACAAGACAGGCACACACATTCCTTACTGTCCTCTACCTGCCAGGTCTGCTGTGACAGCTCCTCAGAGAGGACCAACCCAACTGACGGAATTGAGGGTTTCACGTAAAGGCAAGTCTTGCTATGATGAGATGAGCCTGGGGCCATATATGAGTGTGTAGTGGGGCTCTTTGAAATGGACCGGCAGGACACGGCCTAGAAAGGGAGGCTCTGACAGTGATGGAGAGAAAGAGTGCTGATATTTTTATTTACTACATAAATTAACTACAGACATAATACATTCCTTCTCTGGTTTGCTTTTTGCTCTCCACCAAGCCATTCTTTTGTATGTTACAATCAATTTAGCGTTTTGATTAACTGATTCACAGAATGTGAGGAGAATGGAGGAGTGGGATGGCCATATTCCACAAGGGCCTAACTGGCCAATCTCTGCTTTCCCAAATTTGGTTTTGTAGAAACCTGGCAATGGAGAATTAGAGTGGTGAGGGCTAGGCAGAGACCACAGCCCAATTTTGGCCTTGGGAATAATTTTCTTCAAATATCTTTTTCATTCAGCTCTTTCTTTTCTAATGTACCTGTGTATCTCTAGTCCATGGAGTGTCACCATTTTCTGAGGCTGAAAGTTCTTCCACTAGCACCGATGGGAACACTCCAATTCGCCCATTGAATTCCCCTTCCCAGAAGCCATCATCATCTTGGTTTTCTTTGTTCAAGATACGAATGATTGCTCCCTCAGGAAAAGATAATTCATCATCTGTCTGGCCCTCATAGTCATAAAGTGCTTTCACAAAACAGACTAGGGAGCAAGAGAGAGACAAATCCAGTAAGAACATTGGCAGTCAGGCTGCTTTTGCAACCATCCCTTAGGCTCACATGACAACTAAAAGAGCATCATAAAGAATATGAGTAAAGTTCTAAGTTTTTACTCACTGAAGATCAACTTTAGTGTTCTACTGTACAGGACAAATGAGACCAAATAAAGAAAAAAAATATTATAGGACTAAAGTTATACTTTTTAACCTACTGAAGGCTTACACCAGGGTAATATAGTTTAGGTCAAAGGTGACCAAATAAAGAGTGCCTTGTTTCAGTCTTTACCACTGGCATCTCCGTTGAGGCTGCCTGAAACGAGTTCAGCTTCCGTGGAATTGCTGGATGTGTGTGACCGACTGTCCAAAGCAGCCAGGGACTGCAGCATGCTCAGGAGGCTGTTCGAGGTGGGAAACTGTAGGTACTTTTCTGGCACGTAACCCACTTGGCCAACTTTATTTCGTGCCTGGGTAAAAGACGTGACAAAACAGGTTTACGGACACAGTCTGGATGGAACGTAACAGGAACCAAAACAAACTCCTAAAAATGTCATGAGAAGGGGTGATATGAGCAAAGGAATATACCTTTACCCAGTCTTCCATATCTCCATCTTCAATCACTTCTAACACCTCATGTTCCTCAATGGTCAACTCATCTGGTTGAGAGGCCTGCAATGTAGGATGGTCATGGACAAAATTAAAAAGGTTAGATAAAGAGCAGATGTGAGTTGGTTGTAACAAAAATGGGATCAAAATATTGAAATGATTTTGAAAAACTTTTTGAACATAAAAATGTAAATGCAGTAAGGCTATCATAATGAGGTGAAGTTTTACTTTAAAAAACAAACAAAATAAAGTGCCAACAAAAACTGAAGAAACGAGGTACTCAAGAGGCAATCAGGCTTAATGAACATTGCACCGTGCTGGCAGTAGAAGGCCTGGGTTCAAGCTCCAGCTTAAGTATCTGTCAGTAAGTTATTCAACTTCGTAATGCCCCCATTTCTTCAAAGTGACAATCTTGCCATTCTCAAACAGGAGAGGGTTCAATGTGGGATGAATGAACACAGAAGCATGACGACTTGGAAAGCACAGGCAAACATGAAGGCAATGAATGAGAACTGCTACCAGAGGGCTACTGCGAGGTGCGTGCCATGAAGATGCGAAGAGCTATGTACATGGATGAGGTGATAGCTTGAGCAGTGCTAGGACTGATCCTGAATCACTGTAATACAGTGGCCAGAGGAAGAAAGTTGTGGGAAAGGAAATGATTGAGATCGGTCAAGGTTTGGATTTATGATGGTCCAACTTAACTGTGGGGACTGGGCTGATGCATGTGGGTGCTTCTGCACGTGGGTACTTCTGCACAAGCTGTGGTGACTTTATTATTCCTGTCAGTGGGAATCCATGAGCATCAGACACCAATATATTGCCCAGGAGACGGCAGAACCTGAGCACAAACTCTCAAAGGCTCCACAAAAGGGTCAGACACAGTCTATTTGGCTTGGCTTTCTAAAGAGCCTTGCTTGTCACACATTAACAGGCAGTGGCCTGCTGGCATCTTATTGTCTTAAAAGCTTTCCCCAAGTCCCCAGATCCATGAAAACTATCACCTAAGACCATACATAGTTTTTCAAATCTCACAAATTCGAAGTGCAAAATATCTCCAAGTTACACAAGCAAAAATGAGGCAAGAAAACTCATCACTTTCCTTAAACCCATTTCCCATTTCATAAACATTTCATCAAAACCAAGATTCTGGATGTTGTCATAGCTTCTTGAGACAGAAAAATAGTATTGAAAATGGTTGGCCAATCAGAGAAATACCCTAGGAACAGATTTTTAAGTAAATTACCTCTTGTCTCAAAATATGAGGAAAAAATGCTCATTAGCTTCTGATAGCTTTTCCAATGGAATTTCTTTGCTACTCTGAAATTATGCATTGAATACATAAGCATAAGGCACCTATGTAACAAAGATTTTCTCCCATAATTTCCATGGCAGGATACTTAAAAATATCAATACAACCAGGCTTTTCCTTCTGTCCAGGATGCCCTGGCTTCCTATTTCCCATCTGGTGAATGGATTTAGATTACTGTGCGTTCAAGTCCAGCTTAAGTCTGTTTCTATGGAAAAGTGACCTTAAGACTTTGAGCCTCAGTTTTCTTTTTTATTTAGAATATAATTAGAACATAAGCTCCATTAAGGCAGAGATTTTTGTCTGTTTTGATCAATGCTATATTTCCAGAGCCTAGAAAAGAGCATAGCACTGATACATGGAAGGTGCTCAAATAATCTGTTAAATGAAGGGGCTGGTTGATAATATCTTCCTTATAGGGTTATTGAGGGGATTATAAATAATGAATGTGTATGTGTGTGTGTACATTTGTGTGTATAAATAGTACCAGGCACACAGTACTTGACAAATGATAGCTACTCATCATTTGAGGCCTACCTCAGTCGTTTTCCCAGACTATCATGATGAACTGGTTGTTTCCTCCACCTTTTGTTCTTATAAGGCTTTGCTATCCCTCTAACAGTGACTACTGGCACTCTAATTAGTTGTCCATCCTTGTGGGCTTCCCACCGGAATGATTTCCTTAAGGCAGGGTCAGTATTTTTCTCCCTTGCCCCAACTAAAGATAGCAAGTGGTCAGTAAGTGCTCATTAAACAAACATAGTCTCATACTGTCTCCGAAGTCCTAATATCCAGTGATAACCAGAACTCCAAGCAGCCGTGCTCTCCATTCCCCACCACTCTCTTGCCAATTTTCCTGTGTTTTCTTTTAAAAAAATATTCCTTTCCTTATTATAAAAGTAATACATGGTCAATGTAGAAAAATTGGAAAGATGCATAATTGAGATCTTAAGGTACATACAACTTGGTATCCTACTTAATGTAATATAACATTTATGTTACAAAAAATGCTTTTATAACATAAGCACTTCTTACATAAAAAACTCTAATATAACTTTAAATTATTTTCATATTACATGTTATGATTATATGAGTGGTTAATTTATTTAACTATTCCCTTATTAGAATGCCAACTTTGAAGCATTATAAAATAGGACTATGATAAAAGAAATTTTGTACCCAAAACTTTTTTCTATATTGTGGTTCATTTCCTTAGGATGGATGTTAGAAGTAGAATGATTGGGTCAAAAGTCATGAACACTTTTCAGGTTTTTGAATCTAACCCTTAAATATAGCTTTTTTCTTTGTTCCCACAAGATTAATTCAGGCCTTTTTTGTTGGTTTGGACTATAGGAATCATTCTCAGGCTTAAAGTTGTTCTCTAATCTATCCTCTAGAGTATGTTTACACGACCAGGGTTACCTTCTTAAAAGCCAAATTTGACTTTAGGACATCTGGTGGCGCAGTGGTTATGAGCTCTGCTGATAATCAAAAGATCAGCAGTTTCAATCCACCAGCCGCTCCTTGGAAACCCTATGGGGCAGTTCTACTCTGTCCTACAGGGTTGCTATGAGTCGAAATCGACTTAATGGCAACAAGTTTTTTTTTTTTAAAAAGCTCCTCCCAGCCAGGATAAAAAACCAAACTTCTGAGTTCGGTATACATGGCCTGTTACTATCTGACAGCAAACATATTTACTTCCAGCTGCTCTATTCTCCATGTGTGATGCTTCCACACCACTGAATCTAACATTTCCTGCAGACCCCACCCTCTCATCACACCATGTCTCTGGATCTGCTGTTCTCTCTGCTTAGAAAGCTATTTCCCTCTCTACCCTTTCCCAGCATCTAGAAAGGTCTTGGAGCCCTGGTGGCGTAGTAGTTAAGAGCTCAGCTGCTAACCAAAAGGTTGGCAGTTGGAATCCACCAGCCGCTCCTTGGAAACCCTATGGGGCAGTTCTACTCATGATCTAATTTAAATGCCACCTCATTGGTAAAATTTCTCCCAACTATCACAGTTAGAATTAGCAGTTTTACCTCTATTATAAATCTTTTTATACACATTCTGTTTTTTAGGTTAATTTTATTCTTCCTTAGACTATCCATTCCTGGAGGGTATGAACTGAGTCATATTCATTCTTGCATCCCCAAAGCTTATCACATATTGGGCACTCAGTAAATGTCTGTTCAATGATTAACTGACTAAATAGATTTTTATACCCTGGTTTACCACAGGGGCACGCCTGGGCTAGGCCAATAGAGGGGATGTTTGGTGAATGTGAGCTGTTTATAATCACTCAGATACTTAGGACCCTCCCCACTTAAGGACCTCACATTTTAGTTATGGAACTTTTAAATAAATTTAATACTGAGAGGTGACATGGGGAGACATTTCCAATCCTAGTTTTATGATACCTGTAACACCTTTCCAAGGATCTTAGAAGATGACTTCAAATGTTTAAAAGATTATTAAAGCATTTATGTCGAAAAAAGAAATCCCACCCTTTTTAGAAAAAGGAAGTATTATGAATTTAAATATAAAATGAAAGGATGTTAGCCTCAAAAAAAGTCTGAGCATCACTGCTACTAAGGGGGTAAATACTGCCAACTTTTGTCTATCAAGGGGTGGTGGTGGCAAGAGTGAGACTATTCAGTGTATGACTGCTGAAGATTCTCTCTGGACACTCCCTCTTAGCATTATCCTTTCTCATTACTACCTCCATCAGAATGGCAGCCAGAGAAGGATTTGTTTGTTCATGCCTTCCTTTACACCATTCATTTATTCATTCCACAATTATTTACAGAGGACCTACTATGTGCCAGGCACTTTTCTAGGTGCTGAAGATATACAGACAAGGTACACAGGAGCAGGTAAGTTTTCTGCCTTCATGGGCCTTTAATGGGGACCCGGATAAAGAAATAAGAGAACAAAGAAGATAACTTTTGCTGGTAACAACTGCTATAAAGTAAATCAAATAGGGCAGTGGAATAGAGGGTAGTGACTGAGGAGTTGGTTATGTAATTTAGGTGGTCGGGGGAGACCTGAGGAGGCACTATTTAGCTGAGCCTCAAAGAATAGCAGTGGGCCGTCAATAGAGTTTTAGAGAAATAGAGTTCTAGGTAGAAGAAGCAGTAAGTGCAAAGCTATCAAGTCAGGAAGGAGCCTGGTGCTTCTGAAGACTCAAAGGCAGCCAGAGTGGCTAAAGTGCAATGAATGAATGGGGTGGGGTATGGTCTGAGATGAAGCTGAGGAGGCTGACAAGGGCCAGATCATGCTGGACATTACAGACTCTAGTGAAGAGATTGGATTGTTCTCTTACATGGAACAGAAAGCTTATAAAGGGTTTTAGGCAAGGTGTTATAGACTGAATTGTGTTTCCCAAAAATATGTGCTGTAAATCCTAGCCTCTATGCCTGTGGTTATAATCCCATTAGGGAATAGGTTGCCTTTGTTATGTTAATGATGCAGGTTTAGTGTAGGGTGTGTTTTGAGTCAGTTTCTTACAAGATATAAAAAGAGCATATTAGGACAAGCAAGCAAGTAGAGATGGGGGAAGAGAGGTGCCAAGCCACATAAAGACTGCCCAGGAGCAGAAGCTCAAAGAGACAAGGACCTTCCTCCAGAGCTGACAGAAAAAGACCACCTTCCTTTAGAGCCAGTACCCTGAATTCAGACTCTAGCCTCCTAAGCTGTGAGAAAATAAACTTCTGCTTGTTAAAGCTACCCATTTGTAGTATTTCTGTTATAGCAGCACTAGATAACTAAGACACAAGGAAATGAAATAATATCTGTGTTAAAGAAGAACTGAAGAAAAAATTCAAGCTTTAAGTTGCAATGCTGAAGGATTCTATCAGCAAAATACTGAACAATGCAGGAAGCATCAAAAGAAGATAGAAATAATACACAGTCACCGTACCAGAAAGAACTGGTCGACATTCAACTATTTCAGGAGGTAGCATCTGATCAAGAACTGATTGTACTGAAGGAAGAAGTCAAGCTGCACTGAAGGCATTGGCAAAAAACAAGGCTCCAGGAATTGATGGAACACCAATTGAGACGTTTCAACAAACGGATGCAGTACTGGAAGTACTCACTCATCTATGCCAAGAAATCTGTAAGACAGGCATCTGGTCAACTGATTAGAAGAGATTCATATTTGTGCCTATTCCAGAGAAAGATGATCCAACAGAATGCGGAAATTATTGAACAATATCATTAATATCACATACAAGTAAAGTTTTGCTGAAGATAATTCAAAAAAGGTTGCACAGTACATTGACAGGGAACTGTTAGAAATTCAAGCCGGATTCAAAAGAGGACACGGAATAAGGGGACGTTATATGAATCTTGGCTGAAAGCAGAGAATACAAGAAAGATGTTTAGCTGTGTTTTATTGACTATGCAAAGGCATTCAACTGTGTGGATCATAACAAATTATGGATAACATTGCAAAGAATGGGAGTTCCAAAACAATTAATTGTGGTCATGCAGAACCTGTACATAGACCAAGAGGCAGTCGTTTGAACAGAACAAGAGAATACTGTGTGGTTTAAAATCAGGAAAGGTGTGCGTGAGGGTTGTATCCTTTCACCATACTTATTCAATCTATATACTGAGCAAATAATCTGAGAAGCCAGGCTATATGAAGAAGAACATGGCATCAGGATTGCAGGAAGGCTTGTTAACAGTCTGTGATATGCAGATGACACAAATTTGCTTGCTGAAAATGAAGAGGACTGGAAGCACTTACTGATGAAGATCAAAGACTACAGCCTTCAGTATGGATTACAATTCAACATGAAGAAAACAAAAATCTTTACAAGTGGACCAATAAGCAACATCATGATAAACGGAGAAAAGATTGAATTTGTCAAGGATTTCATTTTACTTGGATCCACAATCAACGTCCATGGAAGCAGCAGTCAAGAAATCAAACAACGGATTGCATTGGGCAAATCTGCTGCAAAAGACCTCTTTAAAGTGTTAAAAGGCAAAGATGTCACCTTTAGGACTAAGGTGTACCTGACCCAAGCCGTGGTATTTTCGATCGCCTTATATGCATGCGAAAGCTGGACAATGAGTAAGAAAGACCGAAGAATTGATGCTTTTGAATTATGGTGTTGGAAAAGAATACTGAATAAACCATGGACTGCCAGAAAAATGAACAAATCTGTGTTGGAAAAAGAACAGCCAGAATGCTCTTTAGAAGCAAGGATGGCGAGACTTCATCTCACGTACTTTGGGCGTGTTATCAGGAGGGACCAGTGCCTGAAGAAAGACATCATGCTTGGTAGAGTGTCAGTGAAAAAAAGGAAGACCCTTAATGCGATGGACTGACACAGTAGCTGCAACAATAAGCTGAAGCATAATGACGATTATGAGGATGGCGCAGGACTGGGCAGTGTTTCGTTCTGTTGTACACAGAGTCACTAAAAGTCAGAACAGCATCTAACAACAAGTGTTAAAGATAATTCTGGCCACAGAGTGAAGAAGGAACTGCTGGAAGGCAAGAATGAAGTAGGGAGATCAATTATGAGACTTTTTTACAGTAGTCAGAGCAACGGCCTGGATGGTAGCAGTGGAGGTGGTTAATGTTAGAAGTGAATGGATTCAGGATATGTTTTGGAGGTCACCTCAACAGGACCGGCTGATGAGGGTGATGGAGAGAAGAACCGAGGAATTGAAACTCAATTTACTTTGTTCTGAGTAAACAGTTAATGGGAAAGCAGGGCAGGTTTGAGAAAGATTAAGAACTATTAGAAGAAATCAGGTTTGAAAATTCTGGCATCTTTTTATCTAGGTCCTTGCTTGACATGGATAACAAACGTGGTTATATTAGGATAAAGAAAGGCAAAGTTTTAAAAACTACTTGGTATAAACCATTCTCCTTCAATATCAATTTTGAGGGTTACCCTAATGATGGAAGGTCTTATGCCAGGCAGGCAATTAATAATATTGATAAGAGTTTTATTTACTGAAAATTTACTAGATGCCAGTCAATGTGTTAATAAGTGCTTTGCTATAAGAGTGTTCTCTCATTTAATCCTCATATTAGCCCTATATTATCCCCATAATAAAGATAAGGAAACAGAGGCTCACAGGGACTAAGACACTAGTGCAAGGTCACATAGCTTTTAACAGCAGACAGGATTTTAACCCAGGCAGTTTAACAACGGAGACTAAACTCTTCACCGTTATGTTATGTTGCCTCTAATGTTAACTGAACACCAATTTTATGCTATGCATAGTATGAAAGGCTGGAAGATATAGTTGTGTACATCCTCAGAGTTGTCACAACTTAATATCAGCAGTAGGTAAGAGAAATACAAACCGTGTAGGAATAAACAACTTTGCAGGTGAGTGGATAATTTCTTAAGGTGCCAGAAGGGCTAGAACTGCTGTCATCAAAAACATCCATGTTGTCTTCAAACTCTTCTCCTTCTTCTCCTTCGGCATCTGCATTAAGCTAGGAAAAATCAGAAGCCATTGGCTAGCTTGCTTCAAGAAAATGGCTGAAAGCAGGAACAGCATTTAAAATTCAATTGTTTGAAAAATGCTAACTTACTTATTCAACTCCACATAGAAATGACTGTTCTCAATTGTGTTTTTCATGTTATGAAAGAACAGTTTTTTTTCTCTTAAAAACGAGGGTAAAACTGTAATATACATGTAAGAAATATGTATCACTATCCTTTTACTTTTCACTATTAAATACTAATAAATGCCTCTTACCATTTTTAACGGATCAGACTGGGAAACATTAAAAAGACTTATAAATGCCACCAAGGATGTGGAGCAACAGGCTTTCATCTATAGCTGGTAGAAATGGGACTGACACATTCCTTTTGTAAAATAACCCACCTACTGAAATAAATAAACACACCACTTGACCAAGTAACTCTACTTTTATGAATCATTATGCAGAAATAAAAGCACCAGTATGTAAGAGTGGCATTCTAGGATGTTTTCTGCAACACCGCTTGTAGTGTCAAAGTCCTGGACATAACTTACCTGTCCACTACTAGGGGAATGGTTGGGTAAACTATGACACATCCATATTATAGATGAATAACACCCATGAAAAATGAGTTAGATCTACTGTATTTACCTGGAGCACTCTCCATGATGTATTCGGTACAAATAATGTTTGTATGAGCATAGAAACCTGATTGGGGAAGCAGAGCGAGAAGAGCAAAGACTGGAGAATAGGAGATGATGTGAACTGTCAAAACAGGCATGTTACTTTTTAAAATTAAAAATCCAATAAAGTAAAAAAACAAAACAGCCTCAAATATCCTGTTTCTTTTACATATGAAGACTTATTTGCCTACTTGTTCCCATGTTCAAACATACCAAAGCAACAATGTTCACACATTAAGAATATAATGAATGAAAAGTTAGGATTGGGCCTCATAGTAAAACCTAGGAGGCCCCATGGTTAATTAAAGTATCAAAACAAACAAACAAAAAACCCCAAAACCAAACCCATTGCTGTTCAGTAGATTCTGACACACAGCAACCCTACAGGACAGAGCAGAACTGCCCCGTAGGGTTTCCAAGGTTATGATCTTTACAGAAGCAGACTGCCACATCTTTCTCCTGCACAGTGGCTGGTGGGTTCGAACTGCCAATCTTTCTTCGGTTAGCAGACAAGCGCTTAACTACTGCTCCATCAGGGCTCCTTCATTAAAGTTTCAAAGGCCTACTATATGCTAAACACTGTGCTAGGCTCTCAGGTACTGAGGGAAAGGACACTGCCTACTTTCCCAGAGCTCAGTCTAGAGTGGAGAACAAGCACAACCAAGTGCTAAGCACAGGCGACCTTGTGAATACAGAAGAGGTGAATGGTGTGTTTTGGGGCAGGGGGTGGGGGGAGTTTCTGGGATATAGCAGTCTAAAAGTAGAGGCTACCTATATTTTAAGTTCCATCTTTTTTTGTTTTCAATTGTGATTCAGGAGAAAGTTTAGAGAGGAAATTAGTTTCCCATTTAACAGTTAATACACAAATTGTTTCGTGACATTGGCTGCCAACCCCGTGATATGTCAACACTCTCCCCTTCTCTACCCTAGGCTCCCTGTTTCCAAGTTTTCCTGTCCCTTCCTGCATTCTCGTCTTTGCTTTTGGGCTGGTGTGTCCACTAGTCTGGTATACATGATTGAACTATGAAGCCTGTCCCTCACCTGTGTTATTGTTGGCCCTACAGACCTGTCTCATCTTTGGTTGAAGGGTAAACCTTGGGAGTGACTTCAGTACTGAGTTAAAAGGGTGTCCAGGGGCCATACTCTCGGGGTTTCTCCGGTCTCTATCAGACCAGCAAGCCTGGTCTTCTTTTGTGTGTGTGTGCGTGTGTGAATTTGAATTTTGTTCCACATCTTTCTCCTGCTCTGTCTGGGACCCTCTATTGTAAGCCCTGCCAGAGCAGTCAGTGGTAGTAACTGGGCACAATCTAGTTGTTCTGGGGTCAGTCTGGTGGAGGTTGTGGTCCATCAGTCCCTTGGACTAATCTTTCCCTTGTGTCATCTTCATTCTCCTTTGATCCAGCTGGGATGAGACCAATAGATCTATCTTAGACAGCCAATTGCATGCTTTTAAGACCCCAGTAGCTACTCACCACAATCAGATGTAAAACATTTTCTTTATAGACTATGTTATGCTCATTGAGCTAGATGTCCCGAGACCACGGTCCCCAGCCCTTAGCCCAATAGCTCCGTCTCTCAGGGCGTTTGGATGTGTCTGTGAAGTTTCTATGACTTTGCCCTCATCAACTTGTGCTGACTACTTACCCTTCACCAAAGTTACCACTTATCCACCATTTAACTTAAGTGTTTTTCCCTCCACACCCCTCCTCTCCCTAGTAACCATCAAAGATTGTTACTTTCTGTATGGAAACATTTTCATGTGTTTTTATAATAGTAGTCTCATACAGTATTTGTCCTTTTGAGATTGATTTCACTCAGGATAATGCCCTCCAGATTCATCCATTTTGTGAGTTGTTTCACAGATTCATCGTTGTTCTTTATTGTTGTGTAGTATTCCATTGTGTGTATGTACCATAGTTTATCTATCCATTCACCTGTTGATGGGCACTTAGGTTGTTTCCATCTTTTTGCTATTGTGAACAATCCTGCAATGAACATGAGTGTGCAGATTTCTATTCGTGTGATGGCTCTTATTTCTCTAGGATATATTCCTAGGAGTGGGATTGCTGGATCATATGGTATTTCTATTTCTAGCTTTTTAAGGAAGCACCATATCATTTTCCAAAATGGTTGTACCATTTTGCATTCCCACCAGCAGCGCATAAGAGTTCCAATCTCCTGTAACCTCTACATTTGTTATTTTCTTTTTTTTTGATTTGTGCCAGTAATGTTAGGGTGAGACGGTATCTAATTGTAGTTTTGAGTTGCATTTCTCTAATGGCTAGCGATCACAAGCATTTCCTCCTGTGTCTATTAGCTGCCTGAATTCTTCAGTGACTGCCCGTTCATAATCTTTTGCCCATTTTTTAATTGGATTATTTGTCTTTTTATTGCAGAGGTGTTGGATTGCCTTATAGGTTTTAGAGATTGGATCTCTGTCGGGTATGTCATAACCAAAAAATTTTTCCCAGTCTGTAGGTTCTCTTTTTAGTCTTTTAGTGAAGTCTTTTGATGAGCTAAGTGTATACTTTTTAGGAGGTCCCATTTATCTACTTTATCTTCTGGTGTTTGTGTATTGTTAATTATGGTCTGTATGCTGTTTATGCCATATATTAGGGCCCCTAGTGTTGACTCTATTTTTTCTTCCATGATCTTTATAGTTTTTGGTTTTATATTTGGGGCCCTGGTGGTGCAGGGTCAGCAGTTCGAATCCACTAGCCCCTCCCTGGAAACCCTATGGGGCAGTTCTACTCTGTCCTATAGGGTTGCTATGAGTTAGAATTGGACTGGATGGCAATAGGTTTGGCTTTTGGTTTACAGTGTTGACCTTATTTTTTCTTCCATGATCTTTATAGTTTTTGGTTTTATATTTAGGTCTTTGATTTATTTTGAATTAATTTTTGTGTATGGTGTGAGATATGGGTCCTGTTTCATTTTTTCACAGATGGACATCCAGTTTTGCCTGCACCATTTGTTAAAAAGACTGTCTTTTCCCCATTTAATGGACTTTGGGCCTTTGTCAAAGATCAGGTAGCCATAGGTGAATGGATTTATCTGGGTTCTCGATTCTGTTCCATTGGTCAATGTGTCTGTCATTGCACCAGTACCAGGCTGTTTTGACTACTGTAGCTGTAATAGTAGGCTCTGAGGTCAAGTAGTGCGAGGCCTCCTACTTTGTTCTTTTTCTTCAATATCGCTCTACTTATCTGGGGCCTCTTTCTTTTCCACATAAAGTTAATGATTAGTTTCTCCATCTCATTAAAGAATGCTGTTGGTATTCGGATGGGGAGCACATTGTATTTGTAGATTGCTTTTGGTAGAATTGACATTTTCACAATGTTGAGTCTACCTATACATGAGCATGGTATGTTTTTCCATTTATGTAGGTCTCTTTTGGTTTTGTCAGCAGTGTTTTATAGTTTTCTTTGTATAGGTCTTTTACATCCCTGGTTAGATTTATCCTGTATAAGTCTTTTACATCCCTGGTTAGATTTACCCTAAGTATTTTATTTTTTTAGGTGCTATTATAAATGGTGTTGGTTTCCTAATTTCCTTTTCATAGTTCTCTTTATTGGTGTATAGGAATCCAGCTGCTTTTTGTAGGTTTATCTTGTATCCTGCTACTCTGCTGAATCTTTCTATTAGTTCCAGTAGTTTTCTTGTGGAGTCTTTAGGGTTCTCTATGCATAGTATCATATCATCCGCAAATGGGGATAGTTTTACTTTTTCCTTACCCATTTGGATGCCCTTTCTTTTTTTCCCCCTTATTGCTCTAGCTACGACTTACAGTACAATGTTAAATAGGAGTGGTGATAAAGGGCATCCTTGTCTTGTTCCTGTTCTCAGGGGGAATGTTTTCAGCTTCTCTCCATTGAGAATGATGCTGGCTGTTGGTTTTATATAGACGCCCTTTTATTATGTTGAGGAATTTCTCTTCTATTCCTATCTTAATGAGAGTTTTTATCAGGAATGGGTGTTGGACTTTATTAAATGTCTTTTCTGTGTCGACTGAGATGATCATGTGATTCTTTTATTTTATTTATGCAGTGGATTATGTTGATTGATTTTCTAATGTTGAACCATCCCCATATACCTGGTATGAATCCCACTTGGTTGCGGTGTATTATTATTATTTTTTACATGGTGCTGAATTCTATCAGCTAGAATTCTGTTGAGAATTTTTGCATCTACTTTCACGAGAGGTATTGGTCTGTAATTTCCTTTTTTTGTGGTGTCTTCACCTGGTTTTGGTGTCAGGGTGATGCTGGCTTCATAGAGTGAATTCAGAATTATCCTTTCCTTTCCTATGTTCTGAAATAGTTTGAG